TTACAGCAGCCAGTTGAAAACTTATTTTGTGTTTTTATAAACAGCTTTTATTGGGACACAATAATGGGCATCATTAAAACACAGCTCAGTTGCAGCTGCAATCTGGACTGTTATGGTCCCAGAAAACAGCTGCTACATTATAGGCACAGGACCTGCGCTGTGATTGGTCCGGTCTGTTTAAGTCCGGACCAATCAGGTCCACGTGGACGGTGAATGCATATGGTAACTGTAATTAAAAGTGTTTTTTTTAAGAAACTGCAAAATATTTCGCCCTGCCTCCCTCCCAAAAAAGTTTAAATAAAACATTTCCAAAACATTTTCCAAACCACTTCAATAATCAACCCAAAAGAACAAAGAAGAAAAATCCCACTTCTATGAAAATAATGATTATGTGATGGAAAAACTGTGGGGCTTCATAAACGTTTATAAAAGTTAGATTTTTTTTTCTTCTCTCTAAACTGGAAAGGAAGAAGACAATCAGGTCTCGAATAAGCAGGCTGAAAAATAAAGGGATGGAAATCTGCTTGCTACAAATTGATCCATGATTGAAGCTTAATTATCAGTAGTCAGAGAGATTGTACAAAGCTGTTAATGTTTCTAAAGCCCTGCTAAGTAGGTTAGCTCATTATTATGCACAGTTTTTGAAGCGGAAAAGGCTGCTATTTTGACCCAATTAGTGAATCAACAGGAAATCATATTTTTATGTTTGATCTCATCGATTCACCTCTTTGTTTCATGGGGTCATATAAGAGAAATTTGAATGTTTTTTGTGATATATCTAAATACAAGTAATGTGCCGGTGGCTATAGCAGAAAATCTGGTGTTACTGTCAGTATGTTGTGGCAGAATTTCATGAGATTAACAGCATTTCTGGTTTAGAAGCCACTGTCGTGCCTCCCGCCCTGCTCTGAGCCTCGTCTGGCATCTTCGTGTAAAGCTGGGCCGGGCTTGGCTCTCATGCATGGAGGTGCAGATGGTCTTCTGTGTGATGTAGTTGGAGGTCCAGAGCTGTACCCCAGCAGGGACCCTGGCAGCTGACAAGCTTGGCTCGACGGCCACCGTCCCCGGACGTTAGTCCGACAGCTACAGCAACAGGACGGGCCACCCAGGTGTCAGCCATACAGACTCTGTGTCTCATCCAGACACCTGAGCCAGCTGTTTGGCCCCAGCTGCTGTACCAGGCCACCATCGTCACACTGGACACCAGCACACAAGAGACACAAAAAGGATCTTCGGTAACAGGAAAAAGCTGTTTCTTGATGTGAAGCCAAAAAAAAAAAACTAACGTCAGAATGATCTTAAGGATGAAAGTGACATTTTGGCAGTTTGTGTGATATACTTTTCACATCTCTCTCTGCTATAGCCACAAGTTAAAATAAGTCAAATCAAAGCTAATTACAATGTACTACATAATTATAAAGTGCAAAAAAAGGATACACACTTTTCAAAGGTTTTTACAACTACAAAACCCCTAAAAACATGTTTTGTGTTGAGCTCCCTTTAATCGAATTAAAAATCAACCAATTGCCACAGATGTGTGATTTATTCTTGGTACAAACCCAGCTGCTCTCTGCAGAATTTAAAGATTTGTTAGAGAATATAGGTGAACAAGTATCATCATGATGACCAAGGAACACTCTTGAAACACAGCCTGTTAGGGAAAGGTGATTGGAAGAGCAGCGGGCATCCATAGATGGGGGGTGAGAGGACAACAAGATCCAGGCTTTATAGAAGAACGATATTGTTGAAGATGTCCTGTTTAAATTTGGTTAGAGTTATGTACAGAGAATCAGTGGAAAAACGCGCTCTTGATCAGATAAGACCTTTTCAGAGTAACTTTCGCCTATTCAGGGCAATTCAGTGGCGTCGGGTGCAGGACTTTGCCTTGCAACTGGAGGGTTGTCAGTTCGAGCCCTGGCTACGGCCTTTAGTGTTGTTGTTGGGGCAAGACACCTTACCTGTATTGCCTAATGATGGTAGTCAGAGGGCCTGGTGGTGGCAGCGAGCCCCAGGGCAGCTCTGGCTACAAGTAGTGTGTCACCATGAGTGTGTGCGTGAATGGGTGAATGACTAAATGTAGTACAAAGCGCTTTGTTCATCTCAAACACAGTATGCCCACAGTAACACATGGTGATGGCAGCATCATGCTGTGGGTATGCTTTTCTGTAGCAGGGACAGAAAAAAATGGGACCATTTTATGATGAATAAAAACAGATGAACTTGGAAGAAAACATGGCATCCCACCCCGTGCCTAACTAACAATATGTAGGAACAGTTAAAATAGTCCAGAACTGGACTGAATAATCCAAAAAGTATTCGTCTTCTATCATTAATCTGGTTTTAAGAAGTAAGATTTTCATTTCCTAAAAAATGAAGCAGAAACACATTTTGCTTCGTATGTATCTGTACTTAGCAAAGCGAAGACCAATTTTCACACTTCCTTAGACTAACATGATGAAGCTTTTATTGATGGATAGGTAGCTTTGATGCGGAAACTGATGTGAATGCGACGTGTATTTGTTTTTGGTTGAGCCTTGTACAGTCGCATCCTTTTCCAATATCCAGTTAATCAAGTCTTCTATGATCCTGTTTTTAATGATGGTATGACAAAAGTTTGAATGGCCTTGAAGGCCTTCATGCTGTGGGAGTACGTTCCAAAGTACGTTCATTTTAACCGGTCTAAGACGCTCAGCGGACTGGACCAATGCACTTCACAGTTAGTCAGCACTCCCACCCGCTTTGCCAGCTCAGCCTTTATTCAGTGCCCTGGAAATTGAGTTTTGCTCGCCCTGTAATGTACTCAAAACTACATCTGCAACCGACTGATAAATCTATGCTTTGTTGCGCCTGACGGATGGCTGTGAAATGAAATTTCAACGCAGCATGTTGCTGTGTCAGGAGGAAGGTCACCCCAGATTTCCCTGCTTCCACGTTCAGGATGAAGCTGTAATGACCGCTCTGTCTCTGGATCTAGTTGTGAACCTTTAAATATTTTTTAAGCTCGTTGGGCTCGGTGAGTTGACAGGTTTTTAGATTGTTTTGTTCCACCTCTGCATCTCTCTGGCTGCGAGAGCAGGCTGAAAAAACAAAGGTCCTTATATGACGTGTTAATATATTTTATTTACTCAGGGAGAAAATCTTTATATTCACAGAGCAGTGCTTGTTTGAGCATGCCTATATACTCACTGGGTTACTGTTTGGTTTTTCAGTCCACTTGATAAATAAAGATGGCATACCTTTATTGCTGTAACGCAGTGAGGGTCTGTCACTCTAAATCCCAATTTCAGTTGCCTAACAAGGCCTGAAAAAGGAATACCTCTTAGAAAAATAACACCAGGCCTCCCTTTCCACTCCTCCTTTCTCTCTTTCACCCTCAGCTCTCTTGCGGACTCCGTGTGAATTGTATTTCCTCTCTTTCAATTTGCCAACCATGTTAGCTCGCTCCACAATGCACTGCCTCTGGGGACCATGGGAAGGCAGGAGCATCGGCCCCGGTCAGGCCCAGAGAGAGCCGATAACCTTTCCGTGTTTCTTTAGCACGTTTTGTAAAGAACAATCAGTACTTATCAGAATCGACTACAGACGAATGCTAATTCAATGTCATGCAGGCAGCTTTCATTCGGGGGGAATGAGAACATCTCCGACTCGCTTTCCGACAACCTGACGTCTGCTGCAGACAAATGACACAAGAGAACGGCAAAATGCTTTTTATTGCCGCTCTGTTCTGTAATTCTCCGCCTCTAATCTATTCTTTGGAATTGCACAGAAAATTTTATTTCGGCTTTACCCTGCAGCTGTCATTTGGAGCATTATAACAGCATAAAACTAGGGAAAGACATTTATTCCGACGACATAATGATGGGGATGGATAAGTTCAATATTTACCCTCTAATCACTGTGGTATCAAAACAAAACACAGGCTAGTGAGCCTCCAATGCAAAAAGCGTTTATGAAATCACAGGATGTTTAAGGGAGTATTTTTATAGGTGTTGGGAATACAGCTAAATTATGTGAAAACAAATTTGCATAAAGGACTAAAAAGTCATCAGTGTGCAGAGGAAGTGTCACTAGTCATTATTAGGCAGGGTTAAAGAGAAGCATGTGGGAAGATAACTGAGTGTATTTGTGAAATTACACACTTGCTTCATGTTTAGAAAAGATATTGTACAGCTCAGTTTAATGAAAAAAATCTTCACTTCTAAATTGTTGAATAAAATTTTCATAGATTTAACCAGAAAGATGTTTCAGGGGTAATTACTTCCACCAAATGTCAAAAGAAAAAAAAAAGTTAATTTCAGAGTAGCTGTAATGAAAGCTAGCATTAGAAACATAGTAATTTATGGACTGCCATCTGCTCTGTAAAGGTTACTACCACAGGCGATTCAGACATGTAAGTTCTACAAGAACTTAATTAAAATATTGCAGGATTTGAAACACTTCTGAAGGGGAAGTTTTCTGTCTGCTGAGTTCAGAAAGGACAGTTGAGTTTGTTCCAGAAAAAAAGTTGACATTTGGAAGTCTTTGTCTGGCTTTGTCAGTCCGTCTAATATGCCTCTTTGCCCTCTTGCCTTTTTCGCCCTCCCAGCGCGAATTGTGCGGAGCCGTCAGTGGTGTGAGATGGCTCCCTGCATGGAGGGGGAGGTCTGCAGCCTCCTGTTCAACAGATCCGGCTGGACCTGCACCAGGGGCAGTGGTCGCATCAAGACCGTCACGGTAATTCACACGACGTGACATTAATACACGCCATATGCACTTACAGCAACACGCCTTCATATTCAGCGTGAGGTAGCCCCATGAGATCAGGTCAGGTGTCGTATGAATCCAAAGACCTAGTATGCATTTCACATGCTTTTAGTCAAATGCTCTGTCAACGTGAAACTTTAAAACATTAGGCAAGGCAGAAAAGCTAAGCTTGTCTGCTTTCTGATGTTAAAGGTTTGTCATTAATGTTGCTTTCTGAAGAGTTTGGTGAAGCCTAAAAGACTCAAAACTTGGTACATATAAAAGATAGAAAGGAAATACCTTGGTACGCTGAAAAAGAATTGGTGTGCAAAGTACACAAAAATAAAATCAGCCAATCCATTTCCTTTTGAGATGTGATGAATTGTTTATGTTCAGGCTGGGTGTCAGAATAGGGAAAAAGGGAATAAATTGGAATGTCTGTTTGTGCAAGGCGAGCCGATCTATTTCAGAAATTGTTCATTTATCTAGATTTTTTCACATGCAGCCATCTCTCAGGATTTTACAAAATAGTTTGAAGACAAATGATCCAATGAGAAGCTCTGTGGCTAAAAGATGCCTTGCTGAGGTCAAATGTTAAATGATTTTGCGGTTCCTACTAAGGTACATAAATATCTTCTCCTTAGAACATATGAACTACGTCAGCAGAAGACCAAAGTGGGAACTATTTCTGTAAGTACAAGAAACTGCAAATACAGTCTGCACAAGCTCAACGAAAACAGGAACAGAAAAGGTGGGAAAAGCATTCTCTAGTCAGATGAGTCTTGATTTTAATTTTTTTTGCTGTGAGATGGGGGAAATTGTCGAGAAAGGAGAATAAAGACATAGATCCATCCTGTCTGAATGGTTCTAGCAGTAATGTTGTGAGGATACTGAGTGGGACAGTCTGTATAGCAATAAAATTAGAGAGCCTGGATCATGCTGCTGACTGTGTCCATGCTGTTGTGACCAAACTAAACCCATCCTCTGATGGCTGCTTATAGCAGGGCGATGCACTATGCCACACAGCTAGAATTATTTCAAATAGGTGACCTAAACATAATAATAGGTTCTCTGTGCTTCTATTCAAAATCGGTTCATTTGAGCTGGACATTTACCCTGCTGGACGGCACACGTTTCCTAACTTGCCCATGAATGGACGTGCCTGCATGACTGTGTTGTTTTGCAGAGGCTGTGGCTGCAGAACAGCAGCTGTGTTCCAACCACTGAGTGTGACTGAGGAGTAAATGAATAATGAATGAAATTGTAAAAGTGTTATCTAATACTAAGGGATTATTATTATTTTATATTTCAAGTTACTGATCTGTCCAGTATAGCAGAAAATTATTCTTGCCAACACCCTGTTAAAAAACGTCTCATATTTTCAAATACTTATGTATTTTTTAAAGCGCATACTTCAACAATTAAGCTTTAGTAATAGTTTGACAGAGCTATTTTTACTTTCATTTAACATTTTTGACCCGTAGGTTTTGGATACTGACTCAAGTAATTAAAACTGAGTGAAAAAGGAGATTTGCAGTTAGCTGACCGAAGCAAACTGTTCACTGAGCAAAATTAAGTGGCAGTTTTAATTTTTTAATGCTATGCAGTTTGTGCTAAAAATAGAGCTCTTCCTCTCATATGAAACTTTTTTTTTGGACAAGAAGGAATGAAAACTGGATTTTAGAGCCATCAAAGTCTCAACATAACGCCTGTAACATCTCTAGTTCTTCAGTAAAGTTTAATAGTAATCCACTGGTAATAAAGTATGCTAGGTAACAGTAAAAGGGACAGAAACTCTTTGAATTTATGTTTTTTAAAATTCCTTCAAATAATAATGTTATTTATTATTTAATATATATTAATTAATTGGATTCAGTTCAGTTTTTTTCTTAAAGTGAACACACTACAAATATTATCTCAAGGCACTTTACCAAGAATACTAAATTAAGAGCATTAAATTCTACCGCAAGTACCACCTGAGTCGAAACGGAGGAGCCAGGGATGGAGAGCAGGAACAAGGAGATGAGACAAGAACATGAAATGTAAGCCATTTCCTTCGTCAACCATCATTGGCAATCTTTTGGAAACAAGTTAGAAGAACTCAAAACCCTAGCAAGGACCCAGCCAGAATATTGGAAATGCAGCATTATGTTTTTTTACTGAAATATAGCTGCAGGATCATATCTCGGACTCCAGCATCTCTCTATCAGGCTTTCTGACCAAATGTATTTGTGGCAATAACTGGTGATTTAAATCACACCTCAGTCCCTGCTACAATACCAATGTTCCAACAGTTTGTCAGCTGCTGTACCAGAGAAAACATAACTTTGGACTTGTTTTATGCAAATATCAAGGACTCAGACAAATCTAAAGTAAGATGTTTTCTTGGAAAATCAGACCACAATGTTATTTTTCTCTTGCCAAGCCACTTGAGACAAACTGCATAGAAATAGAATAAAAAACTATAAGAAGATGGTCTCAAGGGGCTGAATAAGGCCTGTAAGGTTGTTTTGAGGCTACAGACTGGGATGCACTATGTCAGCCACATGGAGAGGACAGCAATACAATGAAGGAGTGTGTGACTGGCTACATAAAGTTATGTGTAGATAACAACCATACCAGAACAGTGAAATGCTTTCCAAATAATAAACCATGGATCACAAGCGATCTGAACCAATTGTTCAACAAGAAAAACAAGCAATAAAGAAGGGAGGCAGGAAACCAATGAGGAGCATATGCAACTTAAGGTCAAGATAAGAGAAAGCAAGGAGGCAAACAGGAAGAGACTGAAAAAGAAGCTCCAGCAGAACAATATCAGAGATAACATAGGCTTCAAGCAGAAGGATGATCACACAGATGGAAGTATGGACAGAACCAGTGAACCGAATCAATTTTTCAACAGATTCAGTTGAGGAACAAGCTCAGCATCCTTCTCTCCTGCCCACAGTCACATGGACATCATGCCCTCCTCTGCCACTGACTCCTGTTTCTTTGAGGTTGTTGTCAGCCAAATAAGAAGATGGTGCTGCTCCCTCCACCTTTCACATGTCTGTCTCTAGAAGTAAAGGGAAGAAGCAACAGGAGAAACTGAATCGTAATAAGTCACCAGGTGCTGATGGTGTCAACCCCAGAGGCCTGACGGCCTGTGCAGAGCACAGAGATTCTACAGAACCTCTTCAACCTTAGTCTGACCCTGGAGATTTCCAATTATGTGAAAGACCTCCTGCCTTGCTCCAATGCCAAAGAAGACTCACTTAACATTCACCATTGACTATAGGCCTGTTAGGCAGACATTCCACATCATGAAGGTCTTGTTTGGCCCACATGCATAAACACACTCGGGAGCAAGAATCAGATTCAACAGTTTATTTAGCCAGTGGAGGTGGACGCTTGGAGAAGACAAGGTAACCCCTGATTGGAACCCCCAAGCACTGCAAGGGAAGGGAAGCCGGTCAGAAGGCGGTGGACTACAAAAGAACGCTGGCTTACCACTGGGTGCGGCAACCATACCGGGGAAGGAAAGAAGGACTCAGCATGCTGTTGTTGTTGGTGGCTGGTGCTCCAGAGACCGGTGGGCATGGGCGGATTGCGGTCCAGAGAGCCAGGGCAGCAGGAGGAACCAGATGGACTCTGGAGGGAGACAGTGGCCTGCGGTCATACCAGTCATACCACGACTGGTAAAATGCTGGCATCCTCCTGCTGTCCGCTCTGCTGAACCCATCCCAGGTGTGCGTGCCCCGCCCACCAGTCAACTGGAAACACCTGTGGGGAAAAGCACACAGAGGCAGGGCCAGCAAACAGCATGGCTCTGCTGACTGAGTCCTGACAACTTTATGAGAAACTCCAGAAAACTTGGGTAGAGGCATCAACAATCACCTGGATCAAAGACTACCTAACAAACAGACCACAGTTCATTGAAGTGAAGGGTCAGCTGTCTAATGAAGCAGTCAGCAGCACAGAAGCACCACAGGAGAAATTACTCTCACTATTCTTTTTTCCTCTGTACACTTCTGACTTTCAGTACCAGACTGAGTCCTATTACCTGCAGAAAATAGTCATGTGGTGGATCAAAGATGGACAAGAAGTTGAGTTACAGGGAGCTGGTGAACCACTTTGTTTCATGGTGTGAAAACAATCATAACATCCTGAATCTCAAAACAAATGAGATTTGTAGATTTCAGAAGAAACAGGAACACGTTGAATCCTGTTCCCATCCTGGGAGAAGTAGTGAGGGGGTGGAGGAGTATAAATATTCACCTGGACAATAAACTAGAGTGGAGATGCAACTTTGAAGCCATCTACAAGAAGGGACAGAAAAGATTAGACTTCCTAGGGAAGTTTAGGTTCTGTGATTGCAACAAGCTGCTATATATCTTCTATTAGTCTGTTGTGGAGAGAATAATATCTTCTTCCATCCTCTATCAGAGCAAATGACCTTAAATAGTTCCAGAAGCTTATAAAGGCTCTGGTCTGGGACTCCTCTAGATCCTCTCGAGATTATTTCACAAAGGAGACTTCTTCATAAAATGAAGAAAATTATTGACAACAGAGTGAGCAGACCAATACAGATCCTTCCGGTAATTGCTGGATAGAAAATAAATAAATAGATAATTAAGTAAATAAGTAAATGAATAGATAAATAATGAATAAATAATGTTAATTTTTATCAGAACTCTTGCTACAGCCTTTACAGTCATCTGAAGGCTTTTAATAAGAGTTTGTGGACTTCCTGATAGTAAAGAATTGCAAAAGTCCAGCCTTGAAGTAACACATGCATGGACTCAGCATCACCACTGGGCAGGATATTTTTTAATTTTTGCAATATTCCAGAGAAAAAGGAAATTCTATAGAAAATAGGCCCTAGCACTGATCCCTGTGGTACTCCACCCTCGAGCATGAGGAAGATTTATCATTAATGTGCACAAATTGAAATCATAAACCAGTCTAGTGCTGTTCCCTAAAATTCCTACAAAATATTCAAGTCTTTCTAAAAGAATATTATGATGAACTGTATCAAATGCAGCACTGAGCTCTAAAAGGAAAAGCACAGATACAAGTCAGTTATCTGAGGCCATGAGAATATCATTAGTGACTTTCAACAAAACTGTATCAGTGCTAGGATGAGCTCTAAAGCCAGACTGAAACTCTTCAAAAAGTTCATTATGGAGTAAGTGGTCACACACTTGTTTCTCAGTGATTTTACATAAGAAAGGACGATTGGATATAGCTATAATTGACTTAGTCATCTGGGTCATGAGATGGTTTCCTAACTAAAGGTTTAATACCAACGCCTGGGGTACATATCCCTGTAAGAGGGATAGGATAATCATATCTTAAATGGAGGCAAAAATCAGAGGGACTAGTTTCTTAAATAACTTGGTTGGAATAGGATTTACCATACAACTAACATACAGCTCCGAAAGTTCAACCTGAACAAAAAAATCCAGACCAGGTTCAAATTCTATAATTACCTCAGTTGCTGCCTCATCTTCCAGAAATAAACCAATCATATTTAGAGGGTTGCCAATAATCGTATTTTCAATAGAATCAAACGTATTTATCCTGAAAAAAAAACCACGGTGTAAGCCCGGCTTAAGTCCAACAACAAAATCATCAATTTGTAAAGGGGAATAAATTAAATGGTTGCCCTCTGCAGTGATGCAGAGGAGATAAAAAGTGGAACAGATTCT